CAATACCTTCCAGTAAGACTGTAATTGGTGATGTAATATCCTGTACTCGAGTTTGTTGAAGCATTAATCTTCCGTCATCCAATATTCGCTGTATATTGCTGCCCCAGCGAATAATCCCTATAAAAAGTAACACAACGTCTGATTACCTGACTTACCTACCTCTCCCTCCCTACCCCTCCCTGGTAGATATCGCTTACCTTCAGCTACATACAGCTCTAGGTTATCATCACTAGGTCCAAATGCCTGTTATGATCAAAACAGAGCAAAACATTACATCTTTGATTAACACAAAAATAATGATCTGCTCAAGATCAAAAACTATTCTAGAAGTTATCATTATCATCATCATCATGATCATCATCATCAGGATCATCTTACTGGTTTGATGTCATTCTCTAGGGCGTGGTTGAAGTCTTCGCGTTTTACCATGATYTTTTGTGCAGCTTGAGGATCAATCTCAAAGTTGTTGGTCATCTACAAAAATACACATGAAATTTAACAAATCTCAGCTGTCAGTTTTGACAACAAGGAAAGTTCCACAATAATAATATCAGCATAGGTATACTACCTTGATAAATCTGTTCATGGCTGTAGACTGTGCAGCACGGACAAGACCTTCTATTTCTGCACCAGTAAAGTTCTTGGTTTGTTGTGCAAGTTCCTGGAAATCAATGTCTGATGCCAACACTCCACTTTCTCTCATTTTAGAAGTATGGATGTGAAGGATTTGTACACGTCCTTCTTCGTCAGGTAGACCTGGTAATAASGGAGTGATTATGAATGGAAATACAGATAAAATACAAATAAATATTAGAGATAATCTTCTTAGAAGTGTTATAATTTTACCAATTTCTACTTGAACTTCAAGACGACCAGGCCTAAGCAATGCATCATCAATGAGATCTCTTCTATTGGTCATGCCTATAGTAAGTGTACAAGTGTATAATTTAGACTTATCCATCCCTTCTGAGTATGTAAATTGTACTTGATCTTCATACAAAATAAAGACATCAACTTACCAATCAGCAAAACATTGTTAAGTTGTTCTACCCCATCAATCTAAATTAAAACAAAGACAATGCCAAGTCTTAGTTAAACAAAGATTGCACATCTTTAAGAAACTTTACAAACAAAGGAGGAATATCATTATCATGGTAAGAAAAATGATTTTTTTGCATTTACAATCTATGTTTTATGATTATGACAAAACTATTTAATGTACAATATTTTGTGCAACTTCATTCTTACATACCTTTGCTAGAAGCTGATTTACAACAGAATCCTGAACACCAGTGCCTCCAGTCTGTAGAGAAGTCATAAAAAACATCAGAGGTGATTAATTCAGTACCATTGATACTAAATAGAGATTCTTTTAAAACTTACATTATAGCTGTATCTTGACTTGCAGACAGCATCAAACTCATCAAAGATGATTAGATGTAGAGCACTGTTGTCTCCAAACTACAATTTGTACAATAGCTCTCTTTAGTTAAATAATATTACCTGTACTTGGATAATAAAGTATTTGTTATACAGTAGTTAAAATCAATACTGACCTTYCTTTGTTCCTCTTCTGCTTCACCAAACAGTTTTCTATCATTTGAAAGAAATTAATGAGCTCATGAAATGAAATAAAAAGAAATAAAAGAAYGAAAACATGAATGAATGAACATTATAAAATTCATGTATACTATTGGTGATATAAAATTATTTATATAACTTGATAATCACATTTCAACATTACCTGATATTTGCCTCTGACTCCCCAACATATTTATTCAAAACCTCTGTCATAAAGACAAATGAAAAACATGATTGACAGGACAAAAAAGTACAACCAAAGGTCTTAACAGCATTGTTTACCTGGTCCACTAATAATCTTTGGTTCTCTTGTGTTCAACATCTTCCCAATCTGTCTAGCCATAAGTGTTTTACCAGTCCCTGGTAATAACAAAATACAATATTGATAATATAATAAAAGAATAAAGAATAATACAAGATGGCATTTTTTAATTGTACCAACCTGGAGGCCCATGAAGTAAGATTCCTTTCACGTGCCTCAAACCTTTGAAAATGAAGTAATGCATGAGCAATCTGATTAGGACAAGTTTACATGTAAGTAAATACAATGTATTCCACTCACCCATTTTGTTAACAATGTCTGCAGGAAACAACCTTGTAGCAAATGCTCTCCTAACAATATTGGAAAATTCCTAAAACAACAAAACGTCAGTTTAGAGAGTGGTAAAATGATCATAGTCTTATTATAGTTAATATTACCTTGTCTAGTCCACCAATTCCAAGTTTTGTAAAGTCCCAATCTTTACTGATGATGGACTGATGTGTGGCTTGCCTGAAAAGATCAGATATCCACTTACTACAACTTGGCCGGGTTGTTCAAAGCCCGATTAGTGCTAATCCTGGGCCAGGTTGTTCAAAGTTCGATTAGTGCTAATCCTGGGCCAGGTTGTTCAAAGTTCGATTAGTGTTAATCCAGGGTTAACTCTAAACAAAACCTATGGAGTTAACCCTCGATTAACACTAATCGGGCTTTTAACAACCCGGCCCTGATGTCCACATTTACTAAATCATAGATTCATATGAAGATGAGTACAGCTATTTCTAAAAGGTTGTCAGAGATCTCTGGATGACATGTATGATGGGTATTCAGTTGACTGATAGCATTCAAAAACAAAAACACCCAGACATAGAAAACAAATCAAGAGTACTAGCTTTCTTTAATAGGAGAATTTATAAACATTATAACACAATTTAACTTACCCTTTTGCTGATCCACTCAGATTCACGGCAGATCCCTATAAAAATAGTTTTTCAATGAGCTGTTATTTTACTAGAATACTTCTCTCTTTTTCTTATTWCAAAAGAATTAATTACTTACATCTGCCCTCTCAAAAACTACTTGAGTATTCCTTGTTATAACACCAGCAGAGACCTGTAACACACACAAATTATTATTACTAATAATAAATATAATATTAATACAGTAATAAAAACCACTAGGCAAGCAAAACCATGGGTCAAAGAAGGTTTATGATCATTTTAAAGACCGCTTTGTGTATGGAGCAGCAACTACCATATAGTTATCAAATAAATTATTTTATTTTAACTGCATTCACTAAAAACATTTTACTAACATTCGTAGCRGCAGCTTTGGAAGACCCTCCAATTAAACCAACATCAATAACTAAAAATCAAATCAGAAATATCTTTATTCAAGTCACTTGTTCTATTAATTTTATTATTCTTCATTATACCAAAATATAGGATAACACGCACAATAGTTTTTGATTATGAAAGACTAACATATTGGCCCAAAATAAAAYCCAATATCTACACTTGAYAACTWCAATGTAACAAACTTTAAAGGGACATTGTCAATGGCACGTATGCACGAGTAAACTTGAAAACATTAGGCTAATGTTTTCAAGTTTATGACTCCAAGTTGGCGCAACATAAATCAGCTTGTAAACGTAAACAGATCTAGAATATTCCAAARTGTGTCAAAAGCACCACAAAATGATTTTCCTTGAAGGTAATACTTTCAAAGTCTGTTAGAGGCGAGACTGTTACTGCGCATRTCATCCATTGACAGTGTCTCTTTAAGTGAAATATTTTCTTGTGAAAACAGTGCATATTATAATATTACATAACACAATTTTTTTATTAGATTTTTACCTGACAAGCTTTTCACTACAAGTTGTAATAGTTTCTTCTCATGGAAGCTGAAGACTAACTATGAAGACAATGGTAAAGAACAGTCTTAAAATAACCTTTGCCATATGCGTAATTCATTTGATAAATATAAGATTCTTCATGGTTTGAGATTTTTCTATTTTTGAATCATGCAAGGCTAGTGTTACCTGCTGATCGACAGAAAAAGCATGTTCATAGAAGAGRTCAGTGAGTTCTTCAGCCATTTTATCAGTGTCGTATGCATCTTGCGTTGGCCTACAATAGTCAATGATCTTATCAAATCAGTGATAACAAAAATATGATCCCAAAAAACCTTCTTAGAAAGAAATAAACCTTAGTTAACATTGTTACTTCATTAGTGTTGTGTGTAATACAAGTAGCTTTACCCACTTGTTATCTTAGAGTAGTATAACATGCACTAGGTCTTGTACCTGGATTTCTGCAAAAAGTCAGCTTCAAATGTGATGCTTGAGAGAAAAGAGCTTTCATCAAACCGGTATGGAATCACTGGATAAAAGAATAAATCAAATCAATAAAAATAAATTGGAATTCAAACCAAAACTCATAACATCTAGTTTGTAACAGTAGATTGCACACACTAAAATGATTTTTAATGGACTGCGAAACATGTAGGAGTATCATCTGCTCTTTTAAAGCCAGAAGGCCAATACAAATTACAAAAAAACAGCTGTTGAATTTATAATCCATCTATTTCCTACACTCTCATCAACTCCCATTAGTGAGTGCAACATTTGAGCTGCGGTGAGTCTCTTTTTTAGCGTATTTACACTAAAAATGAAAATGAAATTGAAATTGAAAGTTAGTCAGAAGAAGTTATCCTGAAAGTTTTCTAACAATAATTAACATGACCTGTTCGTTAATCATTGCCACTTGATGGTACAGTTTTTCAAAACATTTCTCTTTAGTAAAATATTTAGGAGAGGCATGCATTTTTTGATTGTTTTTCATTTTAGGGCGTACATATCCACTACCCTCTGAAAATAATTAATAAACATTCCCTTCACATAATTATATTAATCAGGCAATTGTATAAGACTCACCTTCAATTACAGAATTCAGTGATACTTGTGTCCATTTTCGTTGTACTAAACTAAATCCTACGGATCCTTGGTCCATGGCATCGGACACTTTGATTGTAAAGATGAAACGTTTAGAACCTCCTGTTGTCACTTCAACATATCTAATGACAAAAATAAAATACAACTCCATATYAACTACCAGTGATTTATAAATAATCTCAAATACATATTACATTCCCTTAAGCAATTCTCTCTGATATCAAACAAAGAATGTATTTTTTAGAAGACAAGAAATCAAAAGTTGGAATACTAAATTCTAAACTATTAGCTTACTTCACTCTTTCTGCGTCAAAGTCATTGTTATTGACGATTAARCAGTTAGTAAGAGATAGCTTGTCCGAGGGACACTTGGCTACTTTCATTTGAACCATTATGGCAGCTAGAAKTGARGTAGGATATGTAGAATTCAATCTTTTTTAATGCGGTGTTTGCGATATTCCTTTCTAGTCGGCAGCCATCTTGAATAGCCTCAGTTTGATGATGAGACCGCTGTACTACACGTCACGCATTCCACGTCATCGTAAATGACAGAATGGGACAAGAGAATAGTAAAAAAATACCATGAAAGAAAATGATAAAATAGGGAAATAGTAGGCAAAAAGATTATTGATCGATTGAAGAAATAGATTACAATTAAGGAAAGGACTGAAATGGAAAAATAGATAACGGAAGTTATAATTTATGACACAATCGATAAATAAGCTGATAAAAAAGTAAATAAAACAATATGAGTCAAAGATGGATCCATACGATGGTCAAAAGAAGAGAAAAATGAAATTTTTGGACATTTATAAAACGAACAATCACACGATGGGCTTCCTGTGTTCAATTCTGTTAAAATTGGGCTTCCTGTGGCAGAACCAAGATGGCGACGTACATGACGACTTTTCGTTTCTTCAAAACATCAACAAACTCGGATATTTTCAGAACCAAATCATGGRTGTGAATGGAGTATTTGACATTTTGAAGTAATGAAGCTAAGGATACGTTTTCAAAATCGTAGAGAGCTAATCGAGGTGCCTAATCCAGAATGTACTTTACCAGAGTTGATACGGACTGTTGGCGTCCAATTTTCTTTACCGTAAGCTAARTTTTACAAAATAATGATGTAGACGTTGATAATTTGGGAAATAATGGAATGTTCTTGAAACTTGCCTTACAGAAATGCTTGAGATTTTTTTACAGATGAAATACTTTGAGAAACCCTGATGATGACAAAGCATTTTTTTGATGACATTTGTGAAAACATTTTTGTAAAATCCACCATAATAATGATATAAACTTTAGACTAAATATGAACTAAATTAATTTCTATTCAAGGGAGTCTACATTTGGATTATCTCTTGATGGCAAGACTTTGTTACACACAGATGAAAATGCAACYCTCTCTGCTTTAGGGATTGTAGGAGGGGATTTGCTTCAYATATTACWGAACAGTATTACAGAWAGTRGCAGTGAATTGTCATCAAACGTGACTGTCAATCAAAGTGTTACCTCTCATGCCGTATCATCAAACACTGTTGATCTTGAAGAGCCATCCACATCTGATATTRGAATGTCATCTTTGAATCAAAACAACAGCAAATCAGATGAAATGTTAAGTGCACCAAAAGAAACTTTTAAKAAAGAAARKAAATTTATTAACTCTGAAAAAYCCCAAAATGTAGCTGGYAAAGACCATCAGAGAGCAGGRTCAAGCAATGTTATTACAGAACAAAAACAAATAAGACTTGAATATGCACCTAAAGTACTACTGTGTCGAGATGGCATGCCATATTCACTTCAATCGTCGTATGAAATAGCAGCAGTTGTTACAATGCATCAAGCAGTTTGTGTTGCAGTTCATGTGTTAATGTTAGAAACTGGATTTGTYAATTATAACCCAGAGGTATGATACTCATTCTTAACCACAGGGTGGGGTTGTCCACTGAAAGGCAATATGCATCCATGAACAATCTTTGATTTAGAACCAGTCAGGAAGCACCATTTAACAAGAGATCTTTTGTAAAACAATGGAAATAATCACAAAGATTCTAAGATGCACATCAGCCTTTATCACCAATCAGGGCTTAACTCCATTTTAATAATTAATCCAGGATTATCATTAAATAATACATGTAATGTAGCAGATGCTGCCAATCTACTACAGTACTGTACATTATTACTTTACTATTAACATGTTTCTGAAGGATAACTTCTCAAGATTATCAATTAAGTTTTTCCGGGATTTAATACCAGACTGGTTGAACTTGATAGATGTATCACTGCATGTGTGCTTGTTCTGTTTAAGGCGAATGAACAACCAATCAAAGAACCTTCTGCTTCTGACAATAGCAATACAGCCAGTAGTTCTGGACCAATCATATCCCAGAATTGGAAGACTGACAGTGGTGCCAGGTTTCTCTATAGTCATCCAGCTTGTCCTGGTTTAATGTGTAGTGTTGTTTGTACCTCCCTTGGTCCGTATGTACTAGCTCATGGTGAGAAATAATCATTCTTCAATAAGTAATGACTATTATTATCAGYGATATTGTAATTTTCAAACCCAAGTGCCTGTAACATCAAAGAAGCTTTATCTGTGGGATAATATTGTAACATTCAATGTAATATTTTTCCTAGGAATGTCTAACAGTCCTTCATGTAGCGAGGTTCATCAGTGTAGATTATCAGCAGCTGACTTTGTCAAAGGCAATGTGGATCTTAAGTCCAGCAGTAAGTAGCTTGACTTGGCCCACATTAAATTAGCCAAGTATTTTCTTGTACAGCCCTCTCAATCAATAATTCTATAGTCTGTTGATGTTTCTGTTTTCAAATGAGTAACGTAGCATAAACATAAGGATAAGAAATGGGAGATTTTCCATCTTGTGGGCTGGGTTGTTCAAAGGCCAATTAGTGTTAATCCAGGGTTAACTCCATAGGTTTTTTTAAGAGTTAACCCAGGATTAGCGCTAATCGAGCTTTGAACAACCCGGCCCAGTGCTGAAGGCTAAGCCTGTGCATATGATGGTATGTTACTATGTACTGATGCTTGAATTATTTGCATTCTGTAAGCGTATTCATCCATTCTTTAGGTGCTGTAGATGTTTATAAAAATCTACAGCGTCTTTCAATGGCTGTGAAGGATCAAATTGCATATCCCTTGTTGTCATCCATGAGGCATGGTAAGATGTTACCTTTTGCAATAAATAAAAGGTCATGGAAATGAAGTTATATTATCATAATTATTTGTYGCCTTAGAACTGAATTTAGAAGAAATTTATGGATTTATGGCATTACCAACTGAAGTTAAGGTAAGAAAATTGTGCAAGTTATGAACAATTTTTTTCTTTGACTCCTATATCACCATACTTTGTTGGACCACTTGAAACTGAAAGTTTCTCCTTGACATGAAATTCTGTTTGAATCTTTGTTATCTAGCTGATGGTTCTCTGCMTGCTTCCTGTCAAAGACATTCTCCAGATATCAGTAACATGCCGTGAATTACAGACCATCACTAGTGACAGTATTCTGTGGCAGCAGTTATGTTTTAGAGATTTTGGTGAGTACAATATACAAAGCAATGTCACAACATCGAAGAACACTGCCTCTTTAATGCACTTGTCCAGTAAGATGGTCCAGATATTCTTTGGTTCAATTGTATTCTTTTGTCAAAGGATGTTGGTGTGTACATTTGCGACATAACACTAAACCTGGACTTTTGTTTCTGTCTCGACATTGTAGGATTGTTGTCAAAAGGAAAATACACTACTTGGAAAATGGTAAGTCATTCCTGTGAAAAAAATGAACAATAAAAGCAGAAAGTTGTGGATCTTAATACTGTTCTAATAATACACCTACTTGCGAAAACGTTGTCATAAAAAAATAGGACATTTGTATTTTAGTAAAAAGGAATAAATTAAAAACACAAAGGAAGATCACTGAGGCTGAACGCTTTCTTTTGTCTTGTTTTAATTTATTCCTTTTTGCTAAATTCAAATGTTCTATTTTCTATGACAACGTTTCTGCAAGTAGGTGTATATATATATTATATTGATTTTGTTGTAAGGAGTACAAGCGACGGTATAAAGATTATCTGGAAAGAAAACAAGATAGTCAGCGCATGACCTTTGTTGTGCCTGGACAAGGAATGTATGACCCACCAATATTCTCAGCTCCACATCCTCCATTTGCCTTTCCTGGAATCCATGGTATGTACATGAACACTTCTTAATACCACTTACCTATCATATTTGAATAAACAATTTGTCCATTTTTTCCTAGGTGGACGACATGATATGTTCCCAAATGTCCCTTTTATGCCTGGTGGTATAAACCCAGGGTCTCTTCCAACACCTGGAAATTTTCCCCGTCCTCGTTTTGACCCTTTTGGACCTTTACCAGAAATGGACATTAATCCTGGACCCAACAGAAGAGGACGAGGAAGAGGGCGTGGTCGAGGAGGGTTCCCTCCTGGTCCTTTTTTCTAGAAGCTGTTAAAATGAACATGTTTCGATGTCATGCCATTAATAACAAACACAGAGCACACAAGCTGCATGAAGTCCAAAAAATAATGACCAAAGATGAGTTAATGATAGAACATTTTAATATGCCTTAAAGTTACTGAAGTACTGTATTTCCAAATGAATAAAGAGCTTTATGATGTCCAAGGACTAGTTCAAATGACTAAGTAGTGTATGARGGAATTTTGTAGAAAGTTTGACATGTAAATTGGCTGAATTTATCACAAGCTTATGGCACAGTTAGTCAAGGCTGATAAAATTTAAACTGTAACATCAAAAGTACAAATTCTATAAAAATTGTTTAACAAAAGTAYTGRAAGGCATTTGTTTGAAAAGGRCGTAAGTTTACTACAAAAACGTTTGCAATAAAATTGCTTTTAGAATGAGTTGTCTGTACAAGTTTTGTCTGAATTAGTGTTTTTATATAATATTGACAATAGTAACCCCACAACCCCGTCCTGCTGAAAAATATATGGCACTTAAATACCTGAAATTGAATTAATATATCTAAATCTCAAAACATACTATATATTATTGTGGTTTGTTATATCTAATMCAAAGAACACAAGGAGTCCCTTGGACCACTTTCTTTTCAAATTGTTTCAAGYTGCAAATTTCAGTCATTTCTTTGACATTACTGTCCTTCCCTATCTTCCATTTTCATTCTATTTATTTTYCCTCATTTCCCTTTACCACTGGCAGTTTCTCSCCACGAATATCAGACCACAGTTTGCAAATCAAACTAAGCGACTTTTCTTTCTCCTCGTATGTCGGTGCGATGATTTTCCATGTACTTTCGCTAATTTCTTCAGGTGTATAGTGKGTGATAACACACAACTCCCCCATACTTGCCGAGTCGAAATCCTCGCGATTTTTCTCGCATTCTGGAGCACTAGGACTGAAAACTAGTGTGAAATCACAGGARTTGAAGTCCGAGAATTCTATACGAGATAATGTCTCTATATCCCGTACATCCCACACCTGATACTGCGGGWTATCGGGTAGCCCGGTAGCRAAAAGAGTCAATGGGTAGTTAGCATGGTCTTCAATACAAAGACACAATGCAGTGTCCATTATGATCAGCGTTCGTGGCTCCTCCAGGCCCGATTCACACACGTGAAACACCAGCAAATAGACAAGAATTGTTACATCGTAGATRGCCGAACACATGTCCGATTCCTGGCTAAACCTGGCTATGGTATCTTTAAGTATTTCCAGTGAATCGTCACTCGGGTATACATACTTTACTCCGCTCTCACAATGAAGAAACTCGGAATTTGTCCAATTTTTGTCTGAACTGTGCGTCGAGTCATAGATACTCGTAACGTTAGCGCTGTCTTGTYGARTAAGGGTTTTGGTCTTYGACGASAGYACAGCGTTAAGGCACTCTAAGAACGCATTGGTAAGATTGAAATCTCGAGTAATGAGAGTGAATGTATTTTCTTTCTTTTCTCCCTCGAGACGCACTGTCTGATCAAATAAACCAACACAGATTTGATGAAGACTTGACGTTGGAAAAAAAGCATAGCTGATGCCGACGTCTTTATCTTTACCTCGTACTTTGACGGACTTTTTCTTGTTAATAAGCAATTCATCAGCCTTGTCTACTAAAATATAGATAAACAGATTACTAAGCAGAACGCAGACCTGGATTTCTTTTGTTGGGAACATGTAGGGTGTACAACCAGTCCAAAGTACGTGGAGTAGCTTCTCGTCCTGGTCCTCTGGTGTCTGTGCRATAACTTTATTGAAATAACCATCAAGTGCTTTTCTATCCAGGGTCATCAGAACCGCCAGACAGTCAGGTGTAGAGGCTTTGAAMAGCGGTAAATTATCTGAACCCATCCTTTTATGTGTCTTCCTAATATTAGACTCAACAGGGGTCCCCAAGGGAGATGTTGTGGAGGAGAACGAATCACCAAGTCCATARGTGTCTACCTCAGGGGGMGGGGGTAGAGATCTTGGTTTGCTGTGCGTCACCGTAAGGTCTGCATGGAAATGGTTTTTCCAAACTTGAGCCAGTGATCTTTGAAGTTGTTCTCGT